ACCAGTAACCAAATTCGTGTAGGTGAACGAGTGGCAGTATCACCACTCCAATCCAATTGCAATCTCTTTACTGAAGTCTTGATGTTTTTCATCGTACAAAGACTTTTACTACGGAACAAGATGTCTCTAAGAGATTTCATACTAGTTCTTAGATCGGAAATCCAATTTGGCTCCCGGGAGCATGTGCTCCTACGCGCAAAAAATGATTTTTGAAATGTCAAAAAAGTCCCAACAAAATTTTTATGTATTCATGGTCACATCCAAATGCTACCTACGAAGTTTTAGGAAAACAAACGTTAAACATTTTTGCCTGTGAAAAAAAACAAATTGAACACCAAATGTTACCCAAAAATTTCACCCCAAATTTATTTTTTTCACCGACGAAAAACTACTGCTCCGTTTCGCATGAAAATTGTGTAGCATTTTTGCGACACTAACATGAACATCCACAAAAAAAACAGAACAAAGTTGTTAAAAATATCTTACCACTTTTTTTGAGGTAATGTTCATCCTAGAGTAAATGCTTCCGGGAGCCAAAACTCCTCCCCATTCTTAGATTTAGTATTTACTTTGTAAACTTTTGGACATTGGACTTGTAGTGGTTGCGAGTATAAATAAAATTACAGGTTTTTCTAGAAAAAGTATTGCACCGACCCACCATCAGTTCGTAGTTCGCATATTACAGTCTACTAGTCCTTCTGTTCATGTAAGCCGTAGTGCTAGTGAGAGCCTCAAATGTGGGCTAGATTGAGTGAACTCACAGCTCATCCGGTGTATCATTACAGTATCCCTCGTTGTATCCAGGATCTGAATGTCCATGTGAATAAATAAGCCATCTTTTGATATAACCAAAAATATAATAATCGGCGAACCAACCTGTGGTTGAGATGGTTAGGTGGACAGTGGTATCCCCAACTCACCAGGGTTCAAATCCTGGTGCTCGCATTATTCCTGGATTTATTTCAGGATTTCCGGCGACGCGCTTTCAGTGGGAGGAGACGTTCCTGTCGACGACGAGGCGCCTACAGTGACTCCGTAAATCTCAAGATGATATGCCGGCTCAGTCTCTCGAAAGTGCTCATAAGGGTAGGGTGTGCATAAGGGTAGGGTGTGCGTGCGTGCGTTCATAGGGGTGAGTGTATGCGCGTGTATATGAGTGCTTGTGTGTGCACTGATGCTCAAAAATATAGTAATCGTGTTTCACAAATGGCAATCTAGCTGTCTTCATCTCTGTGTGCTTGTCTCGAGAGGGCTCAAGGCTCGATGGAGCCAGTGCTCCCCATCTTCTCTCAACTTGCCAGCTCACGACCTCCTCAAATTAGGTAAGTGACTGCTAGATCTGAGCTTGTCGTTCTCTCGATATCCCACTATACGCGTCTAATAGCCGTTCAGGTACACATAACTTATCTTATGTTCTGTACATATACAACCGATTCGTTAAATCATGTTAGATGTTAGGGATCTAATTTCTACAATACTGATTCTATACTCAATGAATTTGCATCTAGAAACATCCGGAGAAGCCTTCTCTAAAGCACGGAAGAATTATTGTCGATGGATTCACTAGAATTTGGTTTTTTATTTGACATAATCATACCGGTTGCTTTGCTATAGTTTTAGTATTTTTGGTAATATGACATTGCTCAACAATCATTACTAGATGTGGTTTGGAAATTAACTCTTTAACATTTTACAAGTGAAGTTAAACACATACTTGTACATATACCTACATAAACTTAGTCATATATAACTTTAAGGTGTCATAGGGCCCTCCAAAACATAGAGCCGGCCCTTAGTTTCGCGAGAAATAATAAGATCAGCAAAGGTAGGCCCGTCGATTGCATATAGGAAAATATATTTCGTACATTCTACTCTTCTTGTATATGGTGCTTACATGCTACATCATCAAAATATAAATTTGTAGACAAATCTTATTGAGTACAAATATATATAGTTTGTGCTTTCTCCTCGTGTGGTGCTGCCGTGCAACATCAGAATATAAACTGTGTAGACGAATCTAATTACCTACGTACAAAGCGCGATCTCTCCGGATAGCTGCGATGCTAAGTGATGTCAGCCGCTTTACGTACGTCCCACCCAGGGTCGATCTCCCAGACAGATGCTGCCCCCCACATGCATTGATGCATGCAACACCTGAGCATCTTTCCCTCCTATAAATTCCCATGCAATACAGCCATACACCACATCAAACTCACGGCTAGCTACCCACTAGCCACACTTACTAAACACAGATCAGCTAAGCCCGCTTATCTCACGAAGGTAGCAATGGCCAGAGCTTTCCCCATGGGAGTGGTGGCCGCCGCGGCCGTGCTGGTGGTGCTGTGTGCCGTCATGTCTTCTGCCGCCGCACAGCCTCGTCCCCCTCTGCCAACGAACTCCCACATGATCACCCCGGGGCGGTTCGGGAAGAGGGCCCAGGTGCTCTCCTGCGACGACACCAAGGACGGGAACAGCCCCTGCACCGCCACCTGCGACAAGCGCTGCCCCAACGAGTGCGTCGTCATGTGCCCAGGCTGCAAGACATACTGCTGTAAGCATCCTAATAGTAAATGTATTCCCACAATGTCATTCTACTCATGCTGATGCTAACCAAAACCTTCTTGAAGTGTGCGACTTTTACCCCGGGGTGTCATGTGGCGACCCGCGTTTCACAGGAGCCGACGGCAACAACTTCTACTTCCACGGCAAGAAGGACCAGGACTTCTGTGTCATCTCCGATGCTGACCTCCACATCAACGCTCATTTCATCGGCAAGCGCAACCCCGCTATGAGCCGTGACTTCACCTGGATCCAAGCTCTCGGCATCCGCTTCGCTGATCACCGCATGTACATGGGCGCCCAGAAAACCACCAAGTGGAACAACGACGTCGACCGCCTCGAGTTGGCGTTCGACGGAGAATCTATCAACATAGCTGCAGACGTTGGGGCAAAGTGGCAGTCCACTGTTGTGCCTGGCCTGACCGTCACGAGGACCACCGTGACCAATGGCGTTAGGGTCCAGCTTAAGGGTGTGTTTGACATCATGGCTAAGGTGGTGCCCATCACGCAGGAGGACTCCCGCGTCCACAACTACGGTGTGACTGAGGATGACAGCCTCGCACATCTGGACATCGGGTTCAAGTTCTATGACCTCAGTGATGATGTTCACGGTGTCCTCGGCCAGACCTACCGCTCTGATTACGTCAACAAGCTCAGCGTGAGCGCCAACATGCCAGTGATGGGTGGCGTAGCCAACTACATCTCCTCTGACATCTTCTCCACCGACTGCAAGGTCGCTAGGTTCGGGCTTAGCGCCGATATCTCCATGGTCACCACCGCGGCCAACTAAACTATTTCTCAAGACAACATCACTCTGATGTAATCGGCCTACACTGATGATGGACATTGGCCTACAAATAAAATAATATGTGAGAAATGTAATGTGTAACATTGTTTTGTGCCAAAAATCAACGACCTTCCCATGAGAAATGAAATGATCTTTCATGCTGCAAATTGTAATGAAGCTTTCCTGTCTGTGCAGTTTTATTTTAGGGTCATGCAATGTGAAAATTCGCTTTAGGTCTTCCTCTTCCTCCCTATTCTAGTTCTAGAACTGAATAGTAATAATTTAGAGTCTCCACAGTACGATGTAAGAGTTTCATGCTCATAAGCCAATCCCTGCTTAATTAACTTGTTATAACTGTAACTAATATGTGTAGCAGTAAAGTGTAAAGAGAATGAAAATACAATTTGGCTCTTGGGAGCATATGCTCCCGCCCACCAAAAATGTTTTATTGCAAATGTCACAAAAAAATTAGATGTGTTCATTGTCACACAAAAATGTTACCTGCAAATTTTTAGGAGGAAATCACAAGTGTTTTGATCTGTGCAAACAAAACAGGTTATTTCCAAATGTTACACTTATTTTGTTTTTGCACCGACGAAGCACCGTTATACCGTTTCGCATGAAAATTGTGAAGCACGCTTGTTACACTAACAAGAACATCTACAAAAAAATTCAGAATTTTTTAATTTTAGTTACAATTTATCTTGATTTTACTGTTCATTAGGGAGCATATGCACCCTGGAGCCAAAACGGCCCTCCGGAAGATGAAGTACATTATTTCTAGTGGCTCCATGAATGTAACAAATTATCCAAAGTGATCGGTATGCTGATGAAGATGCATATGCTGATGAAGAGACATATATATATCTCTCTCCATCAACTTGAAAGAGAAAATTTACAGAAATTTCATTAATTCATGTGAAGTCATAGGAAGACTGGGCATGGGCCATGGTTTCCATCAACAACAAAATGCTCCAGACACTGGCTGAGCCTCAAATTTAGATTCTGGGTTGACCTGTTCATGGCATGGCAGGCATGCAGCCGACCCGAGGCCGTCGGCGGTCAGCCGGCAGCCGTCCGCCGCCCGCGGAGCTCGTAACTGGCACCGGTTGAGTTGACGTCCAAACACGTACTATGCGCTAGCACATGATGCAGTTCACGAAAGTCGTAGCGTAGCTCGGCCGCGAGAGCGCGACGGACGCTTGTTTCTCCATGAATCCACATGAGCTGGAAAGCTATAGCTCAGTCGTCTTACACGATAAAAAAGGGCACAGTGAGACGTACGTACGAGACCTAGCTACTTTATGTAGGATTGTAGCGGGTCAATGCAAATAACTGGTCAACGCTCTACAGGTAGCTAGCTAGGACGATGCGTAGAATGCAGTGCATGGTAACATGCAGCGAAGAAAAATAACGTAGCTATGTTGTCGGTCACCATCTTTGTCTTCCCCTACGCCACTTCGGCTCCACTTCACTTCCGACTATGCCCGGCCATCCCGGCCCCAAAGTCTCACCCTTCCATCACCCATAAGAATCCCTCTACTCCTCCACCCATGTACACACATCCCACCCACACACATCATCCATCCACCCGTAGAAACATCGAGCATACACTTGGCGACATCCAGCTAGCTAGCTCTCGTCGGCGTCGACGATGGCGGGGAGGCGGCAGGCAGCCTGGTGCCTGGTGGTCATCGCTCTGGCGGTGACGCTGGCGGTGGCGTCGGCGCAGCCCGTGCAGCCGAGGGTGGGCGGGCCGGGGAAGAAAGGCGGCAAGATGCCGCCGGGCAAGTTCGAGACGGTGACCTTCGCCAAGAACAACAAGCGCAAGTACGAGGTGGCCTGCACCGACAACCGCGGCCCGCCCTGCGTCGTCTCCTGCCCCAAGACCTGCCCCAACAAGTGCCTCGCCTTCTGCGAGTACTGCATGACCTTCTGCAGTAAGTACTCCTACGCTCATTCTTCCTCTCGGTTCCAACTTCCAAATTCAAATTGTTCCTAGTCTTCATTTCTGTATTTTCCATTTAACCCAAATCTATAGACAGAAGGAAGAGCATGCTAATAATGTCTACCGCATCAATAATAGACTATTATCTGATGAATCTAACGAAACTACGGCATATCATGCAGTGTGCGACATGTTCCCGGGCACGTCGTGCGGGGACCCACGCTTCACGGGCGGCGACGGCAACACCTTCTACTTCCACGGAAAGAAGGACCAGGACTTCTGCATCGTCTCCGACAAGGACCTCCACATCAACGCGCACTTCATTGGCAACCACAACCCTGATATGAAGCGTGACTTCACGTGGGTGCAGGCCCTCGGTGTCACCTTCGTCCATGGCGGCGCCGACCACCGCCTCTACGTGGGTGCCAAGAAGGTCGTCGAGTGGGACGAGGAGGAGGACCATGTTCAAATCACCCTCGATGGGGTGCCCGTGGAGGTGGAGGCCGGCAAGAATGCCCAATGGGTCTCTAGGGCCATGCCGGGGCTCTCCGTCACTCGCACCGACACGGTGAACACCGTCGTCGTGGAGCTCGACGGCGTGTTCAGCATCTCGGCCAACGCCGTGCCCATCACTGACGAGGACTCCCGGATCCACAACTACGGGAAGACCGAGAAGGACAGCCTCGTGCACCTCGACCTAGGGTTCAAGTTCCACACCCTTACTAACGGCGTCGACGGCGTGCTCGGCCAGACCTACCGCTTAGACTACATCAGCAAGGTCAACGTCACGGCCAAGATGCCCATCATGGGCGGCGCGCCCAAGTACCTCTCGGCCAGCCTCTTCTCCACAGACTGCGCCGTCTCCGGCTTCCACCGTAACGGTGACGCCGCCATCGAGACGTTCGCCTCATAAACCATTGGTTCATGGATCCTACACGAGAAATAAACAAATATCAACCGGAAGGGAGTGATATCATCTCCATCATGTTGTTGTGGAGTATATATGTGTGCATCTCACACGATTGAGGTTGTGAAATAAGTTTCAAGTCAATAATTGAAGCAAAGTGTGTACCATGTTAGTAACTTAACATTTTTTTTAAGAAAAGAAGCATCGTGCTTACATAGTACTACCTACCTAGAGCCAAAAGCAATATCCGCTGAGCCTTGCCTTTTTGTTTTGTTTTGCGATACCCTTGAGCCTTGCCAAGCTTGCACAATGTACCACTGATCGATAAGAGATTATATACGTGCGCGGACGAAGCCGCCGCCTCCTCCCCTCGAGAAAAGAACTTACGGTTCCTCCGACCCCCGTAGGTGCCGCCACCGCTCGCCTCGTCTCCGGTAGCCCTAGGGCCATGAAGGCACGGTGGACCCCGACCCTTGCTAGTGGGTAGGGTTTATGTCCTACTCGGGAAGATGAGGCAATGACGACTCCCTGGTTATGGAATAAGGTTTTCCCTGCCTGCCCCGTGCCGGTGATGCGTCTAACGTCATCGGAGGGCGTGTTGATATGTGTCTCCGCCGGATCTCGCAGGATTCGGTCGGTACTGGTCTTTAGTGGATTTGCTTGAACCCAGTCTTTGCTTGTATTCGTTCGTGTATCTATAAGTTGGATGCTTTCGATCTATACTTCACTTCATCGACACAGGTTGTTGTTCTGGTGCGATGGTACTGTGGGGCCTTAGCACGACGACTTCCCTGACTATCTACTGCTATAAGTTTGGCCCGGCTCCAGTGAAGGAGCGGTGATGACGGCGACGCGCCTTCGGTTCGCTCCAGTGTTTGTAGTCGTCGTTAGGTGCTCTATGGACATGGACATGTTTTAATTTATTTTTGTGTTCTTTGTACTGCAATGTCATGATGAATAGATCAGAAGTTTTCTCGAAAAAATGTACCACTCATCATAGTCGGGCTTTGTCCTGAATGTAGTAGTATGAGACACCAGCCCAATCCAAGGTTACAATGAGTGGTCTTTGAGACCTCCACCCAGTGCATGGGACCTCCTAATCGGCGCCCTCAGTGCCGATTCAACGATCTGGTGCTCGCTACGATTCCAAGTGGGCTGCTTTCCGAAAGCCGACATGTTCGCACCTGACAGCGCTCGCTGTCCTTCAAGTTCATGACGAGTCCAAATGCCGCACTTGTCAGCGCTAGCTTTAAAAAACAAATATGTCAGCGCTAGCTACGATTTCAAGTTTGCTACGAGTTTTTTTTTTTTGCAATTGGATGAGTCTGTTTCTTTCAGTTTACAATTTTGTTCAAAGTTTCTTTCCTTCAGTTGAATTCGTGAACAAAAATTTGAATTGGGCGAACTTTCTTTCAATATTATCGACATTATTTGAATTATTAAAAATAGGTTCATGAATTTATTTAATTTTATCGATTTAAATAAAATCATGGGGATTTTAGCAAAGTTTGCGAACTAAAAAAATTCATGAGTTCCAAAAAACTTCATGAGATTTGAAAAAAAATCAAAATGTCAAAAATGTTCGCGCGTTCAAAAAATTCCATGAGTTCCAAAAAAGTTCATGAGATTTGAAACGAATCTGGATTTAAAAAAGTTCACAAGTCAAAATAATTCACGACTTCAAAAAACTTATGGGATTTGCAAACAGTTCTCAAGTTGAAAAAAGTTCATGGGTTTTGAAAAGAAATCATTAATTCTAAAAAAAGTACATCGATTTTGAAAAAAGTTCATCAGTTCTTTAAAAAAGTTCAACAATTTTGGAAACACAATCATCAATTCTGAAAATAGTTCATTAAGTTTTAAAGACTTTATCAATTTTGGAAAAAAGTTCATCAGTTTTGAAAACAGTTCATTGATTTTGAAAATAGTTCACTAATTTGAAAAAAGTTCATCGATTTTGAAAAACAGGTCATGAATTTGAAAATAGTTCATCAATTTTCAAAAAAGTTCATCAGTTTTTTGAAAAAGTTCACCGGTTTTGGAATACAATCATCGATTTTGAAAAATAGTTCATCAAGTTTTAAAGAGCTTATCAATTTTGAAAAGAAGTTCATCAATTTTGAAAAACAAGTCATGAATTTGGATAAAGGTTCATCAATTTTAAAGTTCACGCATTGAGCAAAAGAAAAAGAAAACAGGGAAAAGAGAGGAAGAAAAAACCAAACAAAACCATTCGGCAAAAAGGAACAGGAAACAAGAAAAAAGATAAAAGAAAAATAGAAAAAGGAAAGAATAATAAAACGAAGATGATACGAACAGTCGCGAAAGATTTGTGTGTTGGTTGGTTACTGCGTCTTAGAATCATC